GGGGGGGGGGTTGAGGAGATTTTTCAATAATTGAAAAAAGCATTAATTGCAAAACAAAATAATAGCGTATAAGAGATAAATGTTGACAACGAGAAATTGTTTCATTCCTCACGTAACTTACGCAAAATATATTCATTGAATAAAAATTGCAAAAATCTTCAAATCCATCATTCATTTCCTATATATTGAAATTAAACTCGCATAAAATTTGTTAAAGTGAATGAAGAAAAATCATCAAACCTGTACAGCAGAATTGTGAAAATTGTCAAAATGTTCACTTCCAAAACTGAAATGTAAAATGTTCCATTCATTTGTTAATCTTCCAACGATATTCAAGTCTAAAAAAAAAAAAAAAATAAAAGCTAATATCTGACTGAGAACTTATTTAGACTTTACTATTATTTATTTATTGATGCAATCAATTCAATTTCTAAAATTCTACAAAAAAGGCGAATAAACAATAGACATTAATCATCATCTGATAAATAATAACTTTAGAATCATTTTGAAAGGAAAAAAGAAAATTTAGTTGCAAATTTATGCAACAAATATTTAGCATCTAATAGTAAAGAATTAAAAATTGTAATGATAGCGATTTGAGAAATGAACAGAAATTTGTTGATATCATTTAGTGAATGGCTAAATTATAAAATTCAATAATATAAAACTAAATTCGAGTCACCACTATCACAAGTTGGTCCAAAAAGCACTTGAAGATCATTTTCGTGATACATTTGAGCAATAATAGCTGCATCATTTCCCTTTTGTTTACCTCCGAAACAACCCAATGATGGTACTGGCAGCAATCTGGAAGTAATATTTCAATCAAATTTAAATATTCAATCGATATTACATTAAATATTTTTTGTGAAGCCAGAAAAATGTATTGAATTTTGAAAGGATAACACAATTTTTTAAGTGTTTAACATATAAATTTTAATTTATATTTCAAGACAGTGCACAATTCAACAATTAATTTAACACTTAAATACTACAAAATCAATTTAAATTTGATTTGCTTTTTTTTTGCTTCATCATACAAAAATGTCGCAAAGAAATTTTTTAGCTCCTTTTCAATTTTTCCTTTTTTTTTTCTCTATTATTTATGAAATGTAATTCATTCAATCATTAATGAAGCAAAAATGGAATTGTATCGAGATATGTATTAAAATTTCATTTAAAATACTTAAATAGTCATGTAAATTATTATACAACCTAAAAAATACTTCATTTCATTTTATTGTCAAGAAATTAGCAAAAAAAAAAAAACAAACAAACAAAAAAAATTCCACCTAAATTGATAATCGTGCAAAGATTGTGCATCAATTACATCATTTATGCCAGCTTGCAAAAAATCTGGTGCTTTTGGAATTGTTGCATTTGAATAAATTAGACCAATGTTAATTATAAGTGATTCGGATGCTTTTGAAATTGTTGCATTTGCATAAATTAGACTAGTATTAATTACAGGTGACGATAATGATGAAGCATTAATTAGAAGCACCAAAGCAAATAGCGTTCGTAAGCAATACAATAATAGTAAACGATCAATTATTTGTTGAAAAATGTTGAGCCAAGATTTCTTTGTAAAATTATTTCCAGCCGTTATGCTAAAAAAATATAATCATACAACATTTATTTTAAATTCAATCATTTCAAGTTTTTAAATTTTTTCAAATCAACATAATGAATGAGAAAAATTAGTAATAGGTGTGGGAATTTGAATTAATATAAC